CAGCTAACATATCCCGCATCATGGCTTGTACTCCAGCCATGGTGATTGGCTCAGGTGCAACTTCTACTACGACTGGTATTTGCTGTATCACTGGGGTTGATCTCGGTTCCCATTTGCATTCACGTTTCCGCTACGGGTCCTTGCCATCTTGATCTATACACCAAATAAGGTGAATTTAGATCTTTATTTAGGATAGTCGTTTAAACCGTCCTTATCACTCCGAAACGTTTACATGTTAGTTCTAATATCGTAGTCGTACGCTTAGAATCCTAAACACATAAGGTTTCCAGATCCGGTCGGCAACAGACCATAGATCCGAACAATTAACAACATATCAGGCACAAAGCATTTAGCACATAAACGCATTTTAGGCATAATTCCTAAAATAAGCTAGTGCTCACACCTCACAATCATCGCTTAGCATTCTAAGTTTAAGTCTAGAAATCCTACAAATTCCTAGTTCGCTTAAACTAATGCTCTGATACCAACTGTGACATCCCCATTTTCACAGCAATAAAAGACCGATTTTGTTTATGCTTGTTTGAAAATCAGAGTAACATTTTAAATAAAAGTGTTGCGGAATTTGTCCCAAAACAAAATATGATAAAGATTTATCAAAAGCATTTCCAAGGAAATGTATTTCATTAAAAGACTCGGGATGTCATGTTCGATACAGATCAAAAGCATAAACAGTACAAAATAAGCCTTACTACATTATTTCATATCTACTAGCCTATATCCGTAATCCCTCATCCAAAACATCACATCTATGCTCGAGCGCCACTACCTGTAATACATGAAACTGAGTGGGTCAGGCTTGGGAGCCTGGTGAGCACATAGGGTTTTCAACCCACAATAAATAAGTTTATTAATTTCATCAATCAACAATTACCCGATTACCCGTTCCCGTTATCCTCACTTTACGTCCCTAAACACCTATCATAAGGGACCTAGCCTAAGGATCATCATCGGGATGAACACTACTGCTAAGGGGGTTCCTCAGCAATAAATGTCCTAAAGGAAACCATGAGGGGGATGGAGTACACCGGTGAACACATCGTTCACAAACACCTACAGGTTGCGAGCCTGCTAGCGTTCCACTGGACTGTCTAGAAGAGTCCGTGGTCGTCATCTATACTCCGCTAGATGACTGGACCACCAACAACATAGAGGCCTCTCATCATTTTATCACACATCGTCTTATTACATCTACCCATGTTTTACCCCAACATTTTTGTAGATATATAATACATATACAGTTTAAATCATGAAAAACGTGTATAAAAATCATTCATCCAACATAGACAGCAAGTATTCAGATAATATGCACACATAGCACGTAATTTATATAAAATACTTCATATCTATGTGTAAGATGAAAGTAACTATGCACTCACCTGATTAGGTGGTGACTCGGTACTTGAACAACGCTTCGTTATATCAAAACAATTTTTCCTTGACCAAAACCTAATATCAATACCACTAGGGTTTAGTTTTAACGTTAACCGTGACCAATTAATAGTCTAGCTATTATTATTATTATATAAGCGTTAAATAACACCCAATATAACTCATAATAATAGCCCAAATAATTATTTTAAGGACCTAAAAACATTACTATAATTATTTAAAAGTTATATTAAAAATTGCGTAGGCGTAGCTTACTTACAGCGAATTTTAAAGAAAACCGGGCTTTGCTCGGAGCAGCGTTTCCGAACCGAAAGACCCTTTTTCTCGGGACTCCGGGAGCCTCGGGGCTTCCTTTGGGTGCTAGGGATTTTTCCTAGGGTTTAGGGGGGGTTAAAGGGGTAGTGAGAGAAAGTAGAGAGAGAAAGAGTTGTGAAAATGTGTGAAAAATCCGAGAGAATTCGCATGGTATTTATAGGGGTCAGCAGCTCGGATTTACGCTGCGCGTTCAGCAGCTACACGGCGCGTACCTTCGGGTATGATTGCCAGCCTCGCACCAGATGGCTCGCACCTGCATCAGATGGATAAGAAGCGAAGGTACGCAGGGCGTACCAACCTTGGACGTGGGGCGTAATAGCGAGGGCTACGTGGCATGATCCGAAGCGTGTTTCTTCATCAGCGATGGGTGGCCCAGATGCTGCCACGTCACCAGCTCCTCACCAGGCTTCGCAAATTTGACTACAAACTTTAAAAATTCGTAACTTTCGCGTACGAGCTCCGTTTTCGACGTTCTTTATATCCACGCGTAGGCGGGAACGTACTCTACAACTTTCGTTTAGACTCCGTCGGCTAATTTTGAGTTTATTTTAAAATTTGTATTTTTAACAGGCTGGGACAGGATTGGTCCGTTAAAAATTCATAACTTCCTCATCCGACTTCCGTTTTCGTCTGTCCTATTATCGTTATGCTACTATTAACGAGATCTTCGATTCTCGTTTAGGTTGTGTCAGCTAAAAACCGCTCGATCTAATATTCGAACTTCGGGCTGTACACTACTAAGCCGAAACTTCGAAAAATCATAACTTCCTCATACGAAGTCAGATTTAGGCGTTCTTTTTTATGGACACTCTCGGTTTAACGTATTCTACGACTTTTGTTTAGATCGCTAAGGCCAAAAGTCGCTCTATCGTAAATTCACTATTTACGCTTCCCGGTGCCGTGCCAGTTTCATCACGAAACTTCGACGGGTCATAACTTCTTCGTTATAACTCGGATTTCGGCATTCTTTATATCTCCGGAATCCTTGTTTCGACTACTACAACTTTATGTAAAGATATCGGGCTTATCTCACACTTTAATTTTGACGCTTATTTTTATTCTTTATTAATTATACATTTATAATTAAACAATAAGCATATAAATTCACATAATTCACAAAATACTAAAATATTTCATCTTTATTACATCAAAAGAGTTATAATAGTTGACCTAGACTATTACATCGTCTAAAAATGCTTAGCCCCGAAACCCGAGCGTTACACTAGCTGTCTTTGTGACTCTTGTATGTGCCTGTGTTTATATACTTTCCGGGCTAAGGCCCGATGCCAAGCGGAGCCCGGTGACTATCTTTATGTTATGTATGTATATTTCATGTGTATGTGTTTATATGCTTTCCGAGCTGAGTTCGATGACCGGGCGGGGCCCGATAACAGGGCGGGGCTCACTATATGTTTATTGTATGTTTCTTGTATGTTATGTGGTATTTGGGGATCTCACTAAGCTGTGTGCTTACGGTTTTTAGTTTATGTTTCAGGTACTCCAGTTTTCAAATGAAAGAGCTCGGGACGATCGCAACGCATACACCCGTGTTTTCCGCAATATTTGATCTATGGGAATGAATTCTGATAATTGTTTTATTTGAAATGCTTTTCAACGTTTGGACAAAGTTTACAATAGTGTTTTGATTATAATAAAAATGAAATTTTTATCCTTGATTTTTGGGATGTTACAAAATACATCTTAAGGACAATCATCCAAGTAATAAACACATAAAAATATATATTAGTTGTTTAACCGGTAAAAGATAAAATAAAATTTGAATTTTTACAAAGATGAAACACTAAGATATAAAATTATATAAGAATGAAACATAAATGAAGTTGCATGTCTAGACAATGATGATATAAAATTTGTTTACTATTTAATTAAGGGATAATGACTTAAAAGGGTAATATATTTTTTGATTTGTACACATAATGTCATTGAGTTTTTTTTTCGTTCATATTTACCCCTTCAACTTGTTAAACTGTATATATTCAGTCCTTATGACCGGCTACTCGAGGTTAGCCGGTAAAAATGACTTAATAGGGTAATATATATTTTTCACTTTGTACACATTTAGTCATTAATATTTTTGTACACATTTAGTCCTTAATATTTTTTTAGTTGCAAAATAAGTTATTTTTGTTTTTGTACTCATTAAGTACTTATGAATGATTTCTTTAGATTTGTCTCACGACATTTTACATGGGATATTCATTAATGAGGTGTTTGGGGCTTTTGATGCTTATGTCCATCGCGATCTCGATTACTTGGTTGCTAAGGTCATGTGTATTGAACGTCATAACTTCTTCATACGATCTCGAATTTTAACGATCTTTATATCCATGCGTTCGTATTTTAGTCTACTACAACTTTCATTTAGATTACTCCCGTTAAAAAGTAATATATTTTTACTTACGATCTATATATTCATACGTTTTTTTATGAATGCATGTATGAATGTTTTTTTTTATAAAATCATACGTAAAAATATATTACACTTTAACGGGAGTTTTCTTAATGAGAGTTGTAGTAGACTAAAAAAACGAACACGTGGATATAAAGATCGTTAAAATCTGATATCGTATGAAGAAGTTATGACGTTCAGAACACAAGACCTAAGCCAAACCACAAGACCTACGCAACCAAACAGTCGAGATCGCGATGGACATAAACATCAACAGCCCCAAAACATCTCATTAATGATTGTTCTACGTAAGATGTCGTGAGAAAAACCTAAAGAAATCATTCATAAGTATTGAATGAATACAAAAAAGGACTTACTTTGAAACAAAAAAAAATATTAAGGACTAAATATGTATAAAAATATTAAGGACTAAATGTATACAAAATGAGAAAATATATTACCCTATTAAGTCATTTTTTCCGGTTAACCTGGAGTAACCGGTCATAAAGACTGAATGTGTACAGTTTAACAAGTTGAAGGGGTAAATGTGGACGAAAAAAAACCCAATGACCAAATGTGTACAAATCGAAAAATATATTACCCTCTTAAATTAATTATATTGTTTTTCACGTGGAGTAATATGGATGGTTAAGTGATTAAAAAATGGACGTCAACAATTAAAATGCCAGCAATAATTGAATACGTCTTCAAACGTCAATACCAACAAACTTAAAGGTAAAAAATTGTAACTTTTGCTTTCCAAAAAATATTATTTCAATCAGATCAGGTACAGCTTTATCTGCATAAAGTACAAACTATAAAGCACCGACCCATGCGTCACCAATACGATCCATTCATGCCGTGTAGTGGGTGGCAACTGAACCGATTAAGCATCCATTAGAGAGAACCGATCGCGATAGAAACGGGTTTCGTAGAGTGTCGATTGCTGTGAACAAGATTTTCTGGATTTCGAAAAATCGGAGAGGATTATCATAAGTAAAATCGGTTTGTTATTATCCATTTATTATTATGTTGCAGAGACCCCGTAGAAGGTGTGAAGGCACAGCCATGGGTGTCATCGTTCTTGATCTTCGTCCCGGACTCGGAATTGGTCCTTTTTCTCTCGGTAAATCTTCTCTTAATCTTGATCTAAAGCTGTTCTTGATTTCCATAGAAAGTTTGCTATTCATGGAATAAAGGGTATTAATATGTTCCTGATTCAATTAAATTTTTGGGGATAGTTACTATTTCATTTCCTAAATTGGACTACATCTAGTTCAAAATACGAACCGATAGATTGATTCTGTCCTTTTCAAGTGAAAAATAAACCCGAAAGGGGGATTTCAATGGACGTTTTGGTTTCATAGAGAAGTTGTATTTAACTATTTATGTCGATGATCTTCCTAATTTGTAATTTCAGTTTGTATTAATCTTACGCCTTACTGAAATCGGAGTAGATTTACCCTAATCTATCGAACTAATCGAACTCGGAATTTCATCATCCTTCTAAAAACTGAGTTAATTATTGTCGATGGATGATTTCGTTTCAGGAATGCCTATATGCGAAGCATTTGCACAGATAGAACAACAACCCAACATCTATGATGTCGTTCATGTCAAGTACTTTGATGAGGTTTGTAACAACTAATGATTACAGTGTTTTCTTTCAATGGTGTTTTGTTAACACTTGATATTTCTTCTACACAGGATCCATTAAAGCTGGATGTTGTAATAAGCTTTCCAGATCATGGCTTTCATCTTCGTTTTGATCCATGGTCTCAGGTACTCTATTGTCCCCTATCCTAACATATCACTCCACACTTATCTTCATTGTGTTCAAATCTTATAATCTTGCTTGTTTTTTCAGAGGCTTCGTCTCATTGAGATTTTTGATGTCAAAAGGCTTCAAATGCGCTATGCAACATCACTCATCGGGTACAATTTACAAATGATACTGTGAAATGTGAATCAGTTTTAGAGGGCATTTTCGTCTTTTGCATAACACTCAACTTTGTTATGTTTCAGAGGTCCATCAACTCCAGCTACTTTTGTAGCTGTTTATGCTGTATTCGGGCCAACATTTCCTGGAATATATGACAAAGAAAGAGGCGTCTACACTCTTTTCTATCCTGTAAATTTTAATCCAAAATTATATAATTTTAATTTTCGAAAACCCTTTTTTATATTTTCACACATTTTTCAGGGCCTATCATTTGCTTTTCCAATTCCCTCTCAGTATACAGACTGTTGCCATAATGGAGAAGGTAGATAATTTTCTCGATTTCTAACCATTATTTAATTCCAAATAATAATTTATTCTAACTTTTAAATATTTTTAACATAATAGCTGAATTACCCTTGGAATTTCCCGATGGAACTACTCCAGTGACATGTCGTGTATGCATATATGACAGCTCAGCAGATAGTAAAGTTGGTGTAGGATCATTGATGAATAAAGCTTCTGCCCCTTTACTTCCTAATGGTAGCCTCTACATGGAAGAAGTCCATGTTAAGGTAAGGGCATTTTCGTCATTTCACTTATAACAACAATCTAAATCATTTTTTTTTATTCAGCTAGGTGAAGAATTATGGTTTACAGTAGGTGGACAGCATATCCCTTTTGGTGCTTCCCCACAAGACATTTGGACTGAATTAGGTCGACCAGATGGAATTCATCAAAAACAGGTTTCTGTTTTGAATAATTTACAAGAATAGTCCCTGAGTTTTATGATTTTGAGCAATTTTGGTTTTTAGGTTGATCAAATGGTAATTCATTCTGCTTCAGAACTACGCCCTAAAACAACTCTTTGTGGAGATTACTTTTACAATTACTTTGCTCGTGGATTTGACATATTATTTGATGGCCAGGTTTTTTATATTATAATTATAAATTATGTTTTAATTTCAATATGATTTATAAGATGTCGTATTTATAATTTATATATTTGTTTTAAATTTTCAGACTCATAAGATTAAAAAGTTTGTGCTACATACAAACTATCCAGGACATGCGGACTTTAATTCATACATAAAGTGCAATTTTGTCATCCATGCTACAGAGTGTAAGTAATTAATTAATTAATTAATTACTAATTTCATTTTCGTCACATAAAATTTTAGCCACTTATTTTATTAAATCATTTTTTTTTTGTTGATATGTAGTTGATGGTGCTTTTCATCAAGATATGAGTTCCCCAAAAAGTAGTAGGATTACACCTGGCACGAAATGGGATCAAGTCAAGGTTAATATTGTAATTTTATCACTACTCAAAGGTTACTAATTTTTAATTAACTAAAAAAAAAGGCATATAATAGGAAATTCTTGGAGATTGTGGAAGAGCTGCTATTCAAACACAAGGCTCTACAAGCAATCCTTTTGGGTCTACTTTTGTGTATGGCTATCAAAATGTTGCTTTTGAGGTAAAAATTTAATTACTCATTATTGTTATATATTTATTTATTTTTTTTAGTCTTTTAATGTTTATAGATATAATTCAAACTAATTTTGTTGGTGTGAATAGGTTATGAAGAACGGGTATATTGCTACTGTGACTCTTTTCCAGTCATTCTAACTTCTTTATGGTAAGGGTAAAATGGTCATTTTTGGTCACATTCAGACAGTTTATCCATACAAGATTTAATGGGGATTTTTGTGTTGCAGAATGAAGTGGATATATGTGTTGTACAGATGTAAGAAGCAGTGTTACCTTTTTATGTTTGATAAAAGGGAGAAAGTTGTTAGAACATGAAGTTGAAAAATGTACAGTGTATAATTTGGAGATTTGACATTTGTGTCACATTATTGTGTGATTTCTGCCTCTCTAAAAAAGAAAAAAGAAAAAAGAAAACAAAGTGATGATTGTAAAGGGTGTTTTTTTGCACCAGACTTTCTTGTTATTGTTATTGATTCATCTTATTGGATAGGAAAATGAAGTTGCTTTGACTTGTTGTTATGATGGATTTGACTTGTAGGGCATGCATACCAGTTTATACAAGATACATTAATATTAATGTTTATTTATATAAGATTTTTTTTTTAAGTTTTTAATGAGGGTAAATCCATAACAGACAACTTTGTTAATCTTCTGAGTATGTGAATTCTATAGATTAACATTCATAAAAGAACAACACTTAAACATGAAATCATATTGACGACTAGCATCATTGGGAATTCTACAAAAGTATTAAAACATAAAAACGTGGCCATTTATGTGAAAGCCCAAAAGAAAATAGTTGTAGAAGTGACACATATTTTTGTAAAACTCAAGAGAGGTTTATTGATTTTGTAATAATGGATTAATGGTTACAGTTACACAGGATCTATAAATAGAGCAATATTCCAATTGACATCCAAGTTTGATTATGACTACACCATGTAAAATGAAATTCACCAACAAGGTCTAAGTGGACTACCAAAATAAGTCACATCATAACCCCCTTTACGACATTTAATTTTCAAACCAAAATCTCTAAGTAACATATTCTTGCCAATGCCATGTCCGATAAAATAAAACTCAAGAGAACCTGTTTAACTTTTTGATGAATTCCATTTCCATCGGACATTTGATTGAGGCTTGTAATTAGAAACAAAATGGAATATGTAAATTTGTAACTTTTCATTCTGTGTTGTACTATTAATTGATCACAATACACAGCCAAGTAGCCAACCCAAAAAAAAAAAATTCCGTTGCCGGGACTTGAACCCGGGTCTCTCGGGTGAGAGCCGAGTATCCTAACCAACTAGACTACAACGGATTTGTGATTAAAATTAGATCTAAATGTAAATATCATTATGTATTACTTTCAACGTTTTCACTACACGCTTTGTTATTCAAACAACGAATTTTGTGTAACTGACGATGAACTGTGTGAAACCCTAACTTCCTACTGGTTCATTTTAAGTATTTGCAGAAATTGAATTCGTTTATTGGGGAATTTTGGCATGATCTCTCTTGATAAGTGTGATTAGTTTGATGAATATTTCTAATTGTTAAAGATCATTTGATCATCTGTTTTTTTTATGATTAGTTAAGTTACAAGATTGTTTGTTTACAATATCAATATTGGTTTTCTTCCCAAATTTCCTGAGGATTAAAAGTAATGTTTGGGCATTTTACTTGTGATTCAATGTGACATAACTGCATTGGTATGACATTTGAGGACAAGCATGTCATCTGTTGGTAAATCTTATGAATGCATCTACCCTTGTATAAATATGCAATCCTTAGCCATAATTAAGAGATTCACAAAAAATAAGTTCATTGATAAATAATATACAAAAAACAAATGATTAAATATGAACAAAATTGAAAGTAATTTTCCAAATTGAATTTACGAGAATTGACCCCAAAAGAACAGCTTTAGGTTTCCTTTGAACGACATGTAAGATTTTATTAAGAGTTTACTTTACTAAATAGATAGTTGTATGATACTATGATTAACGATTTGCAAGAGGGTTAAATTACAACCTCACATAAATTATAAACCTAATTGGGTCCACACACTTTCATTTCACATGTGAATTGCATGAGTTTTGTTTTTTTATGTAATTAATAACAACCATTAACAAAATAATCATCCCCAAAACTCTATACAATTTTCATCCCCTCGTCACATATCATCTCCAAAGTTTGCTAAACTCCAACGGCCATATCAACAAGTTATCATTCCACATGTCATCCTCTCATTTGCCAACTCAAAAAATATATCTTTCCTTATTATTCCTTAAATTATATAATATATTAATTTGGGTAGCGACTTATTAAATATATCTTCGGCTTATTAAATATATTAATTAACCTTGGAGGATAATATGTACAATCTTAAAATTTGGTTTGCTTTGTGAGCCATAGAGATCATATACATCAATACTATGTAATATAAGTAAATGAACGATAGAGTTCTTATTTAAAAGTTCAAAACTTACACAACAAATGTCATATAGTCTCCTCCATGTGATTACAACTATACATACATTCATAGTACAAGATACGATTCCCTTAGATTGCTGATAATTAGTTAAGCAACATTCATTAATTACTTCTTATCTACATTGAACTCCAACTTTCAGCGTGACACTGAGACAACCACAAGTCTATATATTCTATCATTTGTTCTCGCACTTTATTAACTGCTTCGGGTGAACTACAATTTTTAGAATTTCCTGCAACATAAAACATAATTCGAGTATATTAATGGGGAAACGTTATTAAAATTATTAGCGAATATATGAGAGGTGTTGATTGTCCAAATTAACCTTCGAGAACTAAAGGAGACTGGGGGCATCCTCGTAAATCACTTCCATGCCCACAGTTATGACACGTGACTATGTAAGCTGGCACTAAGAAAATATACAAAAACAAAGGGTTTAATTTCATTGTGGAAAAAAGCTCAAAAAAGTAATTTTTTATTTTTTTTTAAAATTTTATGGGAACTTACTATTTGGAGATGAGATTTGTTTGGATGCATGTCGCCATGGATCTTGTGATCCATTTGTAAAAACTATCTTCGAACCTACATACAAATTTTCCCTTAATCTAGACAACATTTAATGTTAAAAAAAAAAAAAAAACCTAACAATTTTTTTTTTTATTTTTTTTAATTTTTATACCAGCAATATTCGTGCCCCCATAATACAAATTTGTGGAATCAACCTCCGGATATACACCTTCTCCAAAAACATTTTTGCATAAATCCAAGTGATACCTACATATCAAAAAGCAAATTTTAGATTATCATATAAGTCAAAAAAATGGAGAAATTAAATGAACATTAATATTATATGTACATGCCTTAAGTCGATCTTTGAAGAGCGAATACTATCATTAAGAGGTGCCACTTGAAAAAACGCAACTTCACTACAAACTTGGAACCACCATAATCGATCAGTAGATTCAGGTTTCTTTAAATATTCTTGAGTATATCCTTCTATATCAACTCCAAAAGTACCAATATAATATTCGTTTACATATTTTGCATACGCATCCTTCAGAAAATAGAAATTTTTTATTTTGTCAAAAATAGAATTCGAGAAAGAAAAAAAAAACAAAAAACAAAAAACAAAAAATTACCACTAAATCCTCGTTAGCTTTCTTGGCCTCGGTCATTGGGGTGCAAAGTTTATCTGGATTTCCGTATTGAAACTGAAAAATATTTATTTATATTTATAACATTCGTCAAAAAAAATGCATAGAAAAATAAATTAATAGATAAAGTTACCACTACGGCCGCAGCATCCGCTAGAAAATACATAAAATCAGCATCGATGTGTAGCTGAAATATGTTTTATAAAAATAGACATCAGAATGGTTTGAGATTTTTAAAAAAATTATAGATTTTTAAAAAAATTATAGAAGTGGAAAATATAAAAGTGAATACCGCAGCAGCACCGAATTTAGTTTTGAGTGATTTTCCATCTGATGGGAGTCTTCTTTCAACAAGTTGAGTAACTTCTTGTAATATAGCTTTACATTCTGGCCCTGCTGACTCACCCATCTGCCACCGAGGAATTAATAATAAAACCGTGAAATGAAAAAAATATGAATTAAAGTAATTTTAAATTTCATGGCGCAGTACAGGATTTGATATGAAAGGTTGTACTGTGTTTGACATGAAAGGTTGTACTGTGTTTGACGTGACAATGACAAGTGACAAGTGACAGTTGACAATCGAAAAGTGATAAAGGATTTACTACGTTTGACGTAACACAATTGACAGTTGATAGCTGACAGAGAAATTTGTGAAAACAATTGTAATTTTTTGTAAAACCCAAAAAGATGGAACAAGATGGGACAAGGTTGTCATCTGTGTAAAAGACGTAAATGTCCTCCTCCTGTATAGAATGTTAATTCACCTGTTGATCATATTGATAGTAATCGAGAATGGGATGAACTACACCAGAACTTGCAAGGCTTCCACATGTTAAGTGTGGGAATTTTAGACGAAACCATGCACTAAGAGCTCCAGCATACGAGATACCAAAAACAAACCATGGGTTCTCAATGTTTGTTCTATTGAGCTTCAAATTTAGGGATTCCTACAAAATCATTGAAAATAATATGTTATACAACAAATAAAAACACTATTTGAATTATGAAGGTAGTCAATTTTACTAAAGATTTTATTTTGGGAATGTTTGAATTGTGTAAAAAGTTCTATTGTCTACAACAAGATTTTAGGGTATGAATTCTATTGTTTTGCATTCTTGAGTTTGTATAAATATTAATACAATTCATATATAGCAATTAAATATTAATGCGTTTGTATCATTATTAATCTAAATATAGAGTGATTTTTATTTTGGGAATGCAAAATCCATATCTTTACTTCACTTCTAAACAAAAGGGTAAAATCATCAAATAATTCATTCGGTCCAAAAAAGGTCCACAACAGAAATAGACTTCATGTATACAACACTTATTTATTTACCCTAATGAGAGGAAAAATATTCGACCCACTTGTGGAAATTAAAGAAAATAATAAACGAGGGCAAATTTGTAAAATGTTGAGCTTTAGTGGTAAACCCTTCTTTCTATTACTTTCCCTTTTAAGTTTTTATGTTTGAGACTCCTTATTAAGTCCAAAAAAAAAAACTCATATATAACTTACCTCATTAAGTCAATTAGGTGAAAAAGACACTCACACCCATAAAATAACTTGCCTGATAAAATTGACGAAAAGCAGCTAAGTCAAAAAGCGCCTGTTTAGATGACAGAAATTTCAGATTTTCTGTAGTGAAAGTTTTGAAAGGGGAACTTTTTCCATAGTAGCGATGTTCAAGAGTAACAACAGCAGCTCCAAATTTCTTAGCCAAAACCTGTATGAGGTTCAAAAGCTTCATCATCATTAGAGTTTCAATTCTTCAATTACAATTATAACTCCATAAAAACAGCAAGA